TCAGATATGAAGGTTTGGAGAAGCAAGATGCCCACCAGGCCGGTGCCAAACACATACAAGAAGCCCACCACCACCGCTGCGGCAGGCACACGCGCACGGCGGGGCGAAGAGTTGTTGGTGCAGCCAACGGTAGAGCGGCCAAAGTGGAGGAGGGGCGATTTGAGAGCCACTGCAGAGATGGACGTGCAATTGGCCCACCTGTCTTGGAGGAGCGGAACAGTGTGCTGAGCAGGAAGGTAAAGGCCAGCAGGCAGTTGATCCACAGCAGGTAGAACACAAACTGGAATGAGTAAGAGGTCAGGCGGAAGAAGCTGAGGTTGATCAGGCTGCAGCAAGGAGTGGGGCACGACAGCAAGCAGTGGGGCACGTAAACAAGGCAAGGAGTGGGGCACCCCTGCCCGTGGGGGAACGCTTTTGGTGGTGGGGGCCTGCCACGCCCCCTGCCGCACTCCTGCCCACCTCCCCGCCCACCTCCCAAAGCCGATGAGGATCCAAGTAAAGGTGAAGTTGATGACGAAGAACCAGCAGTACTGCGGCAGGAACAGGGCGGGAGTCGGTGAGCGCACGATGTACCGGCGGGAGGCAAGCCAGCAGCCTGCTGCATGCACCGCGGGGGTCCCACCACTCTGGGCTGCCTGCACCCTGCCCAGCCTCCTACCTGGATAGCCCAGTAGGCTGCGTCCCCCAAGCCGTGCATCTTCATCATGTTCCTCAGCCGCTGCACACGAGGGCAGGAGCCGTGCGGGTAAGGCACAGGGAGTCGCAGCAGTGCAGCAGCTGCCACATGGCACGCGAGAGCTGCCTGGTGGGCCTGGTCACCGGCCACCCACCTTCTCCTTCTCGTAGACCAGCTGGTTGAGCATGGGCGGCAGCAGCAGCTGGAGCAGCCAGCAGAAGAAGAGGGGCCCCAGCAGGGAGCTGAAGTCGAGGCTCAGACGAGAGCCGCCCTACACGCAGGGAGGGTGTGGGGAAGGAGAAAGAGGTGGTGGTGGGTTGGGGGTGGGCAGGGCAGGACAGCAGCTGCCAGCCATCCCACCGCCCAGCACCCCGCCAACAGTGGGCCCAGGCGCAAAGTGCACTGCTTGGCGTGGGCGGCAGCCGGAAGGCGAGGGTATGCCCCGTGGCATCCCACCTTGGGCATCTCCTGCACACCCAGCAGCCAGGCCTGGTAGCCGTCGCTGCCCAGGGACCACTTCAGGAAGGCGTTGACCGCGCGGTTGATGCCCTGCGTCAGGAACGACGGCCGAAAGGATTCCCCATCAGGAGCAGGCGAGGCGTGTGGGGCATGCCCAAGGTGTGCTTTGACCCGATCGCGGCAGTGCGCCGTGGACTGTGCCAGTGCAAGGAGAGGCGCGCCTGGTTGACACGCAGGATGGTGGGGGGGCCTTCTTCCGCGCGCGCCGTGCCATTGTAGAACAGGCGCATGTTGAAGCTCCTGCACCGTGTGGGCAGGCGGGGCAACACCACACCACACCACACCGCGCCCGCCCACCCACCTGTGCGGATGAAGGCTGGCAGGTCGAGGCCCGAGGCCTTGATGGCCTCCACGTCGGTGCACCGGATGCCGTCGATCCACTCCATCACCAGCACCTGCAGGGGTGGGCCCGCGCATAGCATAGCATATACATAGCATAGAGAGGCGGCTGGAGGATGCATGGAGCAGCCGACCTCTGCCCGCGCCTGCCAGCAGCGCCCACTCCCTGCGTACACCTGCCAGCCCCCGCCTGCCCCTCGGCCCGGGGCCCCGCGGCCGCCGGCACGCACCTGTGGGCCGCTGAGGTCGCGCCGCACCCACGGAATCTTGACCAGCGGGTCGCCATCAAAGTTGGCGTAAAAGTCCTGCAGGGGGTGTGGCAGCGGCAGAGCGACAGTGGATGGCGGCTTGTGGTGACTGGCGGCGGCCGTGGCGGCGGTCTGTGTGTGTGTGTGGTGCTTGGTGGTGGCGGTGGTGGTGGTGGTTGGGCGTGCGTGGCGGGCGCC